ATTCATCTCAGATATCCGCCACACTGGCGAGTCGAGTAATGGGGTGGCCGATGAAATGTCCAGACCACCCATTACCCATTTGCAACTCACTTCCGGGATCGATCTTGCTGAGATGGCTGCTGCACAACACCGTGTTGATCCACCTTAGGATGAAGATGTTTCCGGACTCCAGCTCCAGGAATTGCACTGACTACTGGCAACGACAACATCCGCTGTGACATCTCAAACACCTCTCATCGCCTCTTTGTACCGCCATCCCACCAACGCAGTGGCTTTTTCTCCCTTCATAACCCTTCTCATCTTGGGAGTCGAGCTACCGAAAAGCTGGTTTCCGACCGTGTTGCCTGGCCTGGGATGCATAAGAGCCCCAATGCATGGGCACAGGCGTGTCTCGGCTGTTGATACAATAAGTTTCAACGGCACAACAAAGCTCCTATCGACACGCTCCCACGTACAGACGCAAGGTTCAGTTACATCTACCTGAACGTTTTAGGCTCCTGCCTCTGTCACTGCTTCGACAATGGCCAAGGCTTTCCTCAGTCGTTGTGTTGCCACCTTTGGCACTCCCTCCCCGTCACGACTGACCACGGTGCAAAGTTTGAGTCTTACATTTCCCAGACTCTTCTCCCCTTTTTAAACTGTGCTCGCATCTTCTTTACAGCCTATAACGCGGCTACCAAGGGGATGTTCGAACGTTTTCACCGTCAGCCTGAAGACCTCTCTAGGCACCGCAGCCGATCTGGCGAACTGGATGAACCATCTATACGTGGTCTTGTTGGGCATCCGCTTCTCCCTCAAGTAAGAGCTTGATTCTTCCACCACCGAATTGGTGTTTGGCTTCCATGTCCGACTTTGGAATTGGCAAATTCCAAAAACATGAAAAATACCAAATTCGTTAAAAAAGCTTCATGAGGTTTTTTAAATCAAATTTGATATTTATAAGCACACGCAGCGTAATTTTTATGTTTCCTTTTAGTGTTAAATTCGCTTTAAAATGTTCATGATTAGTCGAAAGTTTTCATACATATGTTTTAAAAAAACTTTCTAAATCGTTGAATAATTTTGCATCCTATCGGCTGTTACACTTTCATTCCGGGTTAATTAATAAATTGACGGATACGATGTATAAAGAGTGAACATTTGACAGTCTTAAAAAGCTCATAATCAGAGAATTGTTTAAAACCGGAAGATATCCTTTCTTTAAGTATAAAATTTGAGGAATGTGTGATTTCATACCAAATGAGTACAAGAATGAATATTTATGGAAATATTTTTTATAAGGCCATCGAAAATCATTGAGAAAAATGCAGCCTGCGCAGGTAGCCATTTGATACAGAGTACGTTTTTTTGCAGGCGGTCAGAAAGAAGCTCATGTAAAGCTGGACGGTAGCCAATCTCACAACCCTAATTAAGTTATTTGGACGAATCCAAAACACGTTTCCGAATTTCAGTTGAAATTTCCTGAGATTAGGATCTGCTGTAAATGTACCATAATATTCCCTGGTCTACAAAAACACTTAACCACGATTTGGTGCAAAAACAAGTTATCGGTAGCGGCACGGATCTTAGCATGCCACTGCAGCCCATCATAC